TAAGAAGTTGATTTCAAGTCAAAAAAGTCAAAGTCAACTTTATTGTCAATCTCAAAATATGTGTGTACACAGAAAGATGTAAATACTGTTTCCCACAGTCCCGAGGTATAAAAGAACTCACACATTAAAATACAAGAACACTCAATGAATACTAAAAAACACCAAATGACCGTTTACTATAGGATATAAGATGATGTACAAAGTGCACTTAGATCCACGTTTTAGAGCCTCGTCTCCAAACTATGTGAGATGTGTTGTCGTGCGTAATGGAAACGTGTCTTAAATCGTGCGTAAATCTGAATTACGGGGTTTAAGCGGCGAGACGTGAGCCATCGGGCGGTCGCTGAGGCTCTCTGGACGAAAGGTGAGGAGATGCTTCAGAGGGAAGTCTAAAGAGCACTTCTCCTCAGAGTAAACAGGCGTCAGAACAGACTCTGTTTTACAAGACGTTAACCTCTCATCTGCTCACTGATGTGAAATGATACGGATTCTGAAACTATTTGTAAACCCCTTTGTTCCTCGACTAAACCACATGTTGGATACTGTACGAAGGAAAGGGATTTTTTTTTATTTAAAAGTTGCTAAAATGACGTTTGTTGCTCCAAATATTGTCCTAAATGTTCCTGTAATGATTGAAGTAACGTCTAAGTACATTTATTCACCATCTTGTGATATTTTTCCATTCTTACGCCACTCTAATTCCTCGTTAAGGTGACGTTAGGTAATTGGGGGAAGCTGTAAAGACTCGGCTTTAATCAAATGTCCTTAAGGCTCGTCTCCATGTTCTCATCAGAGTGACATCTGGAGCATTGAGCTTCTAACACAGAGAATAATGAGGACAATTCTATATATAAACTAAAAACACACTTCTTCTCTCTGGCCTTCTAGTTAGAGCGGAGCACGACTCCTGACTTTTGTGTGTTTTATTTTTATTTTGTTTTTAAGATATATCTGTTGTAATTTATTGTCGTTTACTGTGTTTGTAGTAATTGTGTTTTTATTACATGTACAGCACTTTGGCTCGACCAAAAATCGCTTTTAAATGTGCTTTATAAATAAAACCTGATTTGATTTGATTTGATTTGATAAAACAATAGGACGAGAACGGCGAGACGTGAGCCATGGGGCGGTCGCTGAGGCTCTCTGGACGAGAGGTGAGGGGATGTTTCAGAGGGAAGTCTAAAGAGCACTTCTCCTCAGAGTAAACAGGCGTCAGAACAGAAAGCTGCTCTGGACTGCGGAGGAGACAGAATCACTTTATTCTAAGATGACTTTTCTACTACGAAAAAGAAACCATGGAAAGTTCAGGGGTTTTATTTATTACGCACATCTCTATTAAATGAATTATTATTAATTGCATTACATTAATGTACACAATGTCTATCTGTGTTACATACTTTGATGTGTTCACCACGACACCAAGTCAAACTCCTCAAGTTGATATGGGGGGGGTGGGGGGGGGGGGAAGACCTTTGAGATGAACTCAGCTAACGTTGGGCTATAAAGACTTTAACCTCTCATCTGCTCACTGATGTAAATATACTTAACATTATTTAACACAGGGGTGTCCAACTCAAATACACAGTGGGCCAACATTACAAAATGGGTACTAGTGGAGGGCCGGACTGGTTCAATGTTTATTGCAGAACGTATTGAAATGAACTTATTGCACATATTAAACCTGGAACTAACAAAGCTTAAATGATTGCCTATAAAACAACTTTAAATAATCAGTTGCATTCATTTCTTATGGCTCTGAGTCATTTCTTATGATTACATTTCTCCACAGGCCAACAACAGCTTCAACAAAACTATTTCCCTCAAAGAACAAACCAAACATGCCCTGTTGTCGTGAGAGAAAAAGTGCAGAAGGAAACATCCATTAAACTCAGTGTGCTGCTCTGTGATGCTAGTTCAGATACTTGGCATCTCATCTTGGGTGCAAGGTCATCAATGTTTGGGGTCAGGCTCTGAGCTGAGGAGACCCTCAGGATGGAGTGAAGGTGTGCGTGCAATATACCGGCGGGCCAGATCTAATAGTCATTAGAAATTATCCTGCGGGCCGAAATTAAATCCACCACGGGCCTGATTTGGCCCCCGGGCCTTGAGTTTGACACATGTGAGTTAACATGTTCAAATAAATGCACAACTCTTTGCTGTGATATCTGTTACTTTATCACTTTGTGTTATTGTGATTATGATTGTCTTCTTCTGGAGCTCAAACCTTTGAATCTCTGAACTCTGATGTGATATTTGTGGACATGTAAACATCATTAATGTCAACGTGTTTTCAGTGCACTTTAAGAAGGATTAAGCAGAATTAAAGCACCTTGAGATCTGAGCAGCTTGTCTTAGAGTCAGGTGTGGAATAGAATAAAGTACTTATTTAAGTGTTATTTACACTTCATTTTTACTTCAGTATTTCCATGTTCTGCCACTCTATACTTCTACGTCTCTACATTTCAGAAGCCGCTGTTGTGTTTTCCTCCACGACAGCTTTTTACAGATTTTCAATATTCAAGGTTTTATTGTCATTCGTAGAGTGAAGGAATGTGAAGTTACAGCTCCTCCAACGATAGAGACAAGAAGAGTCGAAATACAAGCAACTGGAATCTGATATAAGAAATGTGTAAGTCTCTCTTTTCTCTTTTAACTCCCTTCAGTCACATCCCAAAGGCCAACACACACACACACACACACACACACACACACACACACACACACACACACACACACACACACACACACACGACACCAACACACACACACACACACACACAACACACACACCACACACACACACACACACACACACACACACACACACACACACACACACTCACACTCACACACACACACACACACACACTCACACACCACACCCACACCACACACCACACACACACAACACACACACACACCACACACACACACACACACACACACCATGTATACATCACTTCAGGGACATTACATTGACTTACATGCTGTTCCTGGAGACTTATCCTAACCAAGTCTTCACCCTAAAATGAATGATTCCCCTTATGGGGACCTCCATTTTGTCCCCATAAGGGAGGCGAGTCCCCACACGTGACTGTGTAAACAGATTTAGGCCCCACAAGGAAGAACAGGCACACACACCACACAACAAACCACTACCCACACACAACCCACACACAACACACACACACACCCACACAACACACACACAACACACGCACACACGCACACACACACAAACCACGCGCACACACACACACATCACACACACACACACACACACACACACACACACTACAGGCACACACACACCCACACACCACACACGCACACGCACACACAACACACACACACACCATCACAACAGCCACACACACACACGCGCACACACACACACACTACCACAACAACACAACTCCACCACACACACACAGACACACGGCACACACGCACACACACACACGGAACACTCGCAACACACACACACACCCACACACACACACACACACCACACACACACTCACTCACTGCACTCACTGCACACACACACACACCACTACACACCACACACACACACTACTCACACTCACACACACCACACACACACATCACCACAACACACACACACCCACACACACAACACAACACGTATTCACTCTGGCTTTCTAACTCTTGTTCACGTTGCTTCATGCTGGTGTGATTGTTTGTACGGCGCCTTGAGCCCTTGAGAGCCTTGGAAGGCGCCTCCTATAATCAAATAAATGAATTATTCTAATGAGCTCTGATCAATACTCTCCACTCTTACAGATGGATTAGGGATACTGTTTATTTATGTTCTGTTTTCTGTGAGCTGTTTCTGTTTTTTATGTAAAGCGTCTTTGAGCACCAGGAAAGGCGCTATAAAAACCCAAAGTATTAATAATATTAATATTATGATGAACGTTCTGGATGTTCTTCACAGAGCTCAGGTGTTTCATAGTCTTTCATTTCCTGAAGAGACTGCGCTGTTTTAATTGTGTTCCCTTTCTCTTTTGCTATGCTGTTGAAATAATACAAAAATATATCCAGATCAGTACGAAAATGCCTTTTCTAAAAGCAGCTGCAGCCTTAGAAGGAAAGTCATATTTAACTTCTGAGAAAGTGTAACTCACAAAGGAGGAAGTGAGAGTTCAGGGCCTTGGAAAAGTGAAGGGATGGAACTGTCTCCAAGTGGTTTTACAATAATGTACTGCACACAATATCTGTTTTATTGTTATGATTACTGCAGGATTTTATTCCATATTTTATGTAAATACTGCTATATTTCACTATATGTTTTACTATTTCTAATATTTTTTTATGTTATTATAGTTTTCTTATAATAGTTCTCTATCTGTGAGATATCTCTAAATTCCAATGATGTTCTCTTTAATTAACAAAGTACTCAGATGTTGTACTTGAGTAAATGTAGAAGTACTCAGATGTTGTACTTGAGTAAAAGTAGAAGTACTCAGATGTTGTACTTGAGTAAAAGTAGAAGTACTCAGATGTTGCACTTTAGTAAAAGTAGAAGTACTCAGATATTGCACTTGAGTAAAAGTAGAAATACTCCGGTCTTGTACTTCAGTATATTTCACTATATTCTTTATTATTTCGAATATTTGTTTATGTTATTATAGTGTAATTAAAATAGTTTTCTATGTGTGTTTTTAATTATTGTCTGACCTTATGTATGCACCATGACACCAAGTCAAACTCCTCACGTGTCCCACCTGGTGATCAACGGGTTCTCTGCTGTGTTTTATGCATTTTATTCTACATTTTATAGTTGTATTTTGTATTGTGTAGGCTGTTGTGTAGGCTACTGTATGTAAAGCACTTTGTACATTCGTGTTGAGAAGGGTGCTATATTAATAAAGTTGTACTTACTTACTGACTGATTCTTATTGTGTTTTAGTCCTCTGATTCTGCGGTAAATTGAATTGTAACAGGTGTTATAACTTCTGTTTTGTTTCACTCACCGTCCTGAAGCACCGCGGCCTCCCTGTTGAACGCACTATTTTCCCGGTACACAGATTGAGGGTACGGGTACTCTGTTTTCCCCACCGGGTATCCCGCGTGCAGGTTGTAGTGATACGCGTAATGGTTCATTTGCTGCCCGGAGTAATGCTGCTGTTGTGCCGCCGCAGCCGCGTAAAAATCCTGCGCTCCGCCGTGGAGAGCTCCGTGCCCGCTGTAGAAGCCCAAATCCGGGGAGGAGGACTCCGGGAGGGTCGGGGAATCCTTGGAGGTCGCGATGGAGCTCATGGAGAGGGAAGGATTCTTATTTTTCTCCTGGAAGGAAGGAGAGGAGAGCGCGTTCATGTCGCTGCGCGGCGCGGAGAGTCTGGCGGCTCCAGGGCGCAGCAGCCGGGCTCCAGAGCTCCAGGAGGATAATTACAGGGCGAGCCGAGCCAAGCCGGGCAGGGCAGGACGGAGGAGGCTTCTGATTGGCTGTCACCACACCCCCTGCCCTGAGGACACCCTGCCTGTCGCCACTCTGACTCGCTGCTTCTCCCGTCAGAAATCCTCAGAGACTGAGAGAGGGGAGAAGTACTCTGGTTTAGGTACAGTTATTGCTACAAGTAAAAGATCCAAATACTTCTACTTTTACTCAAGTACCAATATCTGAGTACTTCTACTTTCACTCAAGTACAAGATCTGAGTACGTCTACTTTTACTCAAGTACAAGATCTGAGTACTTCTACTTTTACTCAAGTACAATATCTGAGTACTTCTACTTTTACTCAAGTACAATATCTGAGTACTTCTACTTTTACTCAAGTACAAGATCTGAGTACTTCTACTTTTACTCACGTACAAGGTCTGAGTACTTCTACTTTTACTCAAGTACAAGATCTAGTACTTCTACTTTTACTCACGTACAAGATCTGAGTACTTCTACTTTTAACTCAAGTACAAGATCTGAGTACTTCTACTTTTACTCAAGTACAAGATC